GCGAGGCCCGGCCCGTTAGGCCCACTAAGGCCCGGGCCCGGGACAAAATACAGCATTAATTTATATATAAAATGGTGCAAAAATGGTGAAGGAAGAGACGGTCGGCCGTGAAAGGAGGGCAAGAGAGAAGAGAAGTGTTCTAGGTGAAAAAGATACTCACGCGCTGAAATTTTTTGTAGAACACATGCATCTGCCAGGTCAATATTCAAAAATCACTGTTCTAATATTGATTACAAGTATTCTAATATTGAGTAGAAGTGTTTAACTTGCAATGGGCTCAAGGGAGGTGTCTGATTAGTCATTGAGGACAACTTAATGATTATTAAGAAGCCATGATATGACAAGTATATATCGGAAAAAGGGATTAAGCTCAAACAATTTGATAGTAATTTATAAAAAATCAACTGAAAAGAGGAAAAGGAAATACAAATTCCTCACAAAATTAACATTTCCAAATCTTTCCCCTTCCCGCCAACGACCAAAGCCTGGAGATTCTTCTTCTTTTTCTTTGACGAAAATACCCCTGCGTGTTCCTGAAACTCATCCCAACATCCGAAGCTAAAACCGTAAATATCCCAAAAAGAGTAACCGCAAGTAGCAGTCGTTAGTAACGAACTAAGCGGGGACTCTTTTCTGTATAACAAACTATAAGCACAGCTCACAATCTTCATTTGCTCGATCAGTTTTCCTTTTTCCGCTCTCTGCAAAAAATGAAATTCACCGAGATGAAGCTCCGCGCCATGAATGCTGTGAAAGCGTACTTCAAAAGGGATTGGAAAAAAAGAGATATGATGAATTCTGAGGAAATTCCCCTGTACGCTTACAAATCCTTGAAGAAGGTACAAATTCCCCTTCTTTTTTATCACAGAACGTAAGAATTAGTGTTTCGATAAAAATGTTGTAAGTCAATAAATTATAATCGAGAGATTATGAAATCAAGTTTTTTCTTTATTTTTAATCTTGTTATTGAAAGCTGATCAGAAGATAATGCTGAACCCCAGTTCTTAAACTTTGATGGTTGATGATCAATTTCACCTCAGAAGATTCTAAAGTATTACCTAGATAGTCAGTTTGTTTTTTTACAATTCAGTAAAGATTCTGCTTACTTTTCTTAATCTTCAGGAATTTCGATTCTCAGAAGATTTTAAAGTATTGCCGTACTTTTTACTTTTATTCTGCACTTGCTTATGCCGTAAGTAATAATCTGATAAAATGATTCCGAGTTACATGCAATTTTCCTTTAGCATTTCGAATCAGTTGCTATTGAAGCCTTTGCTCGCTATACAGCCTAGAAAGTTGTAAATTGCACACTTTTACTTGATTTATATGAGAGTATTTGACCGATGTAAAATTAAGATAACCAATTTTTTTTATTTATATATTATGATAGTGGAAGAAAATATCAATACAATAGTTTAATGTATTTAAATACCTGAAAAGCTTGAAGATAGTATAGAAATTGAATTGTGTCAAGTATCTCGTAACATCCCCAAATGAAAGAGTATCACATAAGTTGGGACGGAGGGATTAATTTGTTTCATGCAATTTCAGTTTTCAGCTTCATATGTTTGATCTTTTCTTTCTTTGTAAACTTAGCTGGAAAATATGTGTTTTTGCTTCTACAGAGTTAAATTCATGTGATCAATAAGCTTTTGATGATAAAACAGGTGTATCTTACCCTTTTCTGTGCCATGTTGAGCTCTACTGTTGGATCCTTCTTGCATTTGATCTGGGAAGCGGGAGGCTTCTTCACTGTCATAATTTCAGCTGCAAGTATACTAAGCCTTTACCTTACACCAGCAATGAAAGTGGTACGTGATCGATGACTTGTAGATTTTCTTCGAAATTGTTGAATTGTTCTTGAAGTCGCTTCTTATTATCCCAATTCTTCTACCTCTGCAGAAGAAGAGGGTCTTATACTTGATGATTGCTGCCTATTCGTTAGGAGCTTCTGTTGGACTTCTTACCGAATATAACTTTGGAATTGATCAAGGGTAAGACTCAAAAGATGTTAAAACACTGTTCGGATTTCTGTTGTTGAATGTACTTTTTACTGCTATCTTGTCATTTCATATTACCAGGAACCTGAGTTTTGTAGTTTACAGAGAAAGGCTTCTGTTAATTACTTGTGGTTCCATTATCCTTAGTAACTATAATCATTATATATAGTCCATATCCTAAATGGAAAAAATGGTATGTTTATTAGCTGCAGAAGAAACTAATGTTTTCCATTTTATTTGAATCTCCTAAATGTTGACTACTGTCTCTGTGAAAATCCTGAAATATGGACTTGTGTGATTTCCCTACCTAAATGTGCTGCTCTCTTTAACAAGACAAGGGCATTGGATTGGATGAATTAACATAAAACATAGTCATTCTCAGAGCGCTCTATATTGTTCTTACGTGCAATAAGATAAAAGTGACTACTGTAATGGCTATCCTACGTGATTAGTTAGGCTTTCACAGTTCAGAATTCGCATAATGTTTACCTTATGAATGAGCAAAACTGAGCAATATGACCAGCATTGGCTGTTAGAATGTTGGTTTTTTTATTAGTTTATAAGCTATTGATTTATACTTCTAAATTGATGTTGTAATTGAGATTCCCATACCCTGGAATTATTCTCTCTTTCATGGCACTAGGGGACTAGATTAGAATTAGCAAAATGTATCTCATAACTATGTGCTTCTTTGGAAACCTGAAGCAGTTTTCAAGTTCTTGCATTTTCGGCCAGGCCAAATGTTATAGCACTTAGAGTTCCAGATTGTGCACTATGTTTAATGAGAGAAAATAAACAATATAACCAGATTGTGAAGGGCACTACATGTGGATATTTTACCCCTGGAGTCTATTCCAATATGGCAAAGGCATTTGTATTGTCTGTTAGTTTCCCACATTATATTGCATCTTGATGAATTCAATAGAAGTTACAGTCTGTGTCTGAGGTTAACCTTTGTTGTTATGTATTCCCTATTTAAATAATGTTTCTAATCTGTGTGAAATATCTAACTTCGGAAAGCATTCATGCTTGTTCTGCAGCTTTGTTTTCAGCTTCTTGGGAGGTACAACAATAGGCTTTGGAACTTTTTGGTTTGGAGCCATGTTTACAAGACAAAGGATCGATCTCTACATCGGTTGCCTGCTTCATTCTTACGCCTTTATGTACCTGTGGTTTGTCACTGCTTCTGACATCTTTGGCGGCCACACAACCCGTTGGATGATAAAGGTAACCAGTCGTCGACTTCTCTCAGTTCCCATGCATGTTCCTTAGTTGTATATGAACAAGGACGCATTTAGAGCGAGTTATGCCCTGAAATATTCATTACTTTTGGCTTAAACTAATACATTCATATTGAACCTACTGACTCTAGTTCTAAATTTGCCTGTGTCTATGAATGAATAGTATGACTGACTTGAACTGCTTCTAATAGGTACTCGCTGTGCTTGCATTGTACATGGGATACTTTGTGATATATAGCCAAGAGATACTGTACAATGCTCGCTATGGAGATGTTAACTTTGTCAACTGCACATTCACCGTCTTCTTCCATTTACCAGCTATAGTGGTCCATGCTGCTAGAGTATATCTGGTTGCAGAAATTGAGCACTACAGACAGAACTAAAGCTTTGACGATACAGTAAAGCTACCATTTCGCCTTGGGAAATAACTATAGAATAAATAGTGAGTAGAATGCACAGCTTAAAAGATGTGAAATTACAAATGATGTACAAATATTCCTCTAACTGTGACTACTACATTTTACTGATTGAATGAGGAATTTATAGTCTGAAGCGAAGTGCTGTGAATATTCTTGGCAAATACTGAGTGTTGACTTCCCCATCAGCCGTAGATATACTTTGTTTTTTATTCCAGGGAGTGCGATAAATAAAGAGATAATCTACGCGGTACGCTGAAAACATCAGTTTACACCATATACAATTAAAATATTTTTTTAACTCTGTATATCCAAGACTATTTGGATTTTAAGATCATTAGTCCATTACCTACTTAACTCAAAACGAGCAGGGCATTTGCATCCGTACCCGCTTTTTGTGTCACGTTTTAACTTGTATCCGCTTTACAAAAAAAATTGCAAGCGTACCTACTTTTTCACGTAACTTCAGCATACGGGCCTAAAGTAGCAAAGACAATCACGCAAACTTCAGCATTCTACTAGTCGGGCCTGGAGTAGCAAAAATTGCTGAACCAAGTGTGCTGAAGTTTTTGTTTGGAATTGCTGAACTTAAGCATTCTAGTAGCTGAAGTTTTGTTCTCTATTTGTTGAAGTTTTTGTTTGTAATTGCTGAACTTCAGCATATTTTAGCTGAAGTTTTTCACGTAAACTTAGTGTTGGCTAAAGTTTTTGTTTGTAATTGATGAACTTAAGCATTCTAGTAGGAGAAGTTTTGTTCTCTATTTGCTGAAGTTTTTGTTTGTAATTACTGAACTTCAGCATGTTTTAGCTGAAGTTTTTCACGTAAACTTAGTGTTGGCTGAAATTTTTGTTTGTAATTGCTGAACTTAAGCATTCTAGTAGCTGAAGTTTTGTTCTTTACCCTCCGTGCTAATATTTAACACAAAATGTCAGCTGTTTTTCTTCTCATCTTGACTAATTATGCTTCGTTGATTTCTTTACATTTTCCGGCTGGTAGGTAATTCCAGTTTATTGCAATGTATTGCTACTCTTACCGTATCTTGATTTAATTAGTATTACTACTATAGTAATTTGTTCTTACAGCAAGACACATTTCTTTTTAAATTTTGGTTCTTTAGTCCGTCAAGAGTGCAAATTTTGTTACAGAAATGCTGAGATTTATATTTGACTAACAGAAAAATAGGTCTCCATATAAAAGTATTGTTTATTCGCCAAATTATAGCAGCACCAACACACAACAGAAGAAAGAAGAAGAAGAAGAAGAAGGAGGAGGAGGAGGAAAAATGGGGCTGAAGTTGTTTAAAAAGTAGGTACAAGATAAAACTTTAAAAAAAAATGAGTATAGGTTAAATGGGAGCGACCAAATAGGACATCCCGTACAATTTTTACAAATTAAACTGTTACAATTTCGATTTTGGGGGTCTCATTTGAACAATATGTAAGAGCTACCAAATTTTACTTTATCGCACCATGTCATATTATTATTTTTTTAATGAAAAACTCACTCAACTTTACCAACTTTACCTAAGTATAACGAAAGTTAGTAAACTATTTTTTGCACCTTAAAGGTGTGTTTGGTATGATGGAAAATATTTTTCGAAAAATATTTTCTCATTTTTCACTATTTGGTTGTACAAAATAGTTTAAAAAATATTTTGGTAGATATCACATTTTGGAGGACAATGACTACCCTAGAAAAAGTTAGGAAAATATTTTTCAAAAACTCCACTTACCCTGAGATCTAACCACAACCCCCGCC